GGCGGCTAGGGTGCCGCTAGCCCTCCTCCCCCCAGCTGTTAAATCCTTTCCAAAATGCTAGCGGAAGTTCTTGACACTTAGCGTAAGTTGTATGGTAGCTAGCGCAGTTATAGTCAGTAAATGTTATACAGGGTGAACTATGAAATCTTACAAAATGTCGCCAGCTCCAAGACAAGATTTGACGTTTACAAGCAGGGATCGACCGATACGTTTTTTTTTTTTTAAAAAACCGATATTGCCGATACCGATACGATATGGATTTATAGAAGGCCGATACCGATATAAGGCCGATATATATTTATCTGTTTTCTCCACCTTTTCCTTTGGTTTGAATGTTTTATTTGTTTTCTCGCACCTTTTCCTCTAGTTTGAATGTTTTAATTATTTGTTTTCTCCTAGTTTTAATATTGTTTGTTCGAGTTCAGATAAGCAGAAAGTTTAGTTTTTCTTTTTTAATAAATAAATAATTTTGAATTTGAGTTTAGATAAGCAGAATGTTAAGTTTTTTTTAAATAAAAACCTAATTAATTTAAAATAAATTTATGAGAAACAATTTCTAATATTGACTTTTTTCTTAGTCACTCCCATATGTACCAACCACAATTATTAGCTCTTTTAAGCTTCAAAAAAGCCTTAGTGATGATTACTGATCTTCAAAATATGATTTGTATCGGTCTAAAGTTATCGGCTAATAGAGAGATTTTGAGCCACCTATTTGATCAACGTTATACGTTATCGGTTATTTTGCTCATGCGCAATAGTGAAAAAATAACCGGTCCGCTTAATAAGCGGTAACGTACTACGCTAATTATGTGGAAATAAACGGAACGTTATTAACCGATAACGTTTTAACATCTTTTTCGCATTTCGACGTCCTTTTATATTTTCAATGTTATCCATGAAGTGCAGAACACAATTACACAAAACAAAATACAAATGAATACCTAACAATTCTAACATAAACAACAGACAACATAAAATTTGATGTTAGTTACACAAAATCAAAATCCTAACCACAAATTTTCATTAACGTTTAGCGTATAACGTCCTTCACAAGTTTTGGCTTCAAAAACTAAAAAAGGCTAAATGTCATCCGCTATTTTTTAAAGACTACGCTTGCTCAGTTTATCGTTTAGTGTGTAACGTATATCAAAATTTATGTGGCTCAAAATCTCTCTAATGAAGGGCCGATATGCCGATACACCGATATACCTGAAAATGGCCGATATACCGATATGCCATATCGGTATCGGTCGATCCGTGTTTACAAGCGCTATCTATTCGCGAAGTAGGTAACTAAAACTTAACCTCACAAAGAAATGAAAAAATTGAGGTAGGTATCTTTTTCAACCTTGATGCGCGCGCAACTAGTGGGTTGTACAGTGACTGTATTACCACAGTGGCGACAATAATTGCAGTCTTATTTATGATTGGTTTTTTAAAATCCTATAATATGTTCATATTAATGAACTGTGTTTACTTTGTGGCGTAACTCTTGCTAATTTTAAATATGAATATATACGATTTATGGACATCGATCATAACAAATTGAGAACAACGTATTTAATATACCTAATAATGGTCATCAAATACATTGTTTTCAATTTTGTATGATAAATGTCCATTTAAATCCTATATATTCGTATTTAAAATTAGCAAGAGGAAAGCCACAAAGTGGCGGCGGGACCTCTGTTGTCGCCACTGTGTTAGGTTTATTGTCACTGTAGTGAGTTTAGGGATGGCAACGACATATCGATATTTAGTTCGTCGATATATCGATACTGAATATTGTCGACATTTTTAGTGGTGGTGGCGGTGGGGTTTATCAGGTTTGTGAAGCAAGAGCTAGTACTTTTTTTATCACCAATTAAGAATTACGTTGGTTGAATGCATTTAGTGATCCCAGGCGGTGGCATGTATGTGTTTCTCATATTAGGTTTGAATTTCACTGTTTTCTGTTTTCTGATTTGTTCTGATTCCGGCCCGACTATAAAGGAAAAGGTATAATTTTGCGAATAGATAGCGCTTTTAAACGTTAAATCTTGTCTTGGAGCTGGCGAAATTTTGTAAGATTTCATAGTTCACCCTGTATAACATTCACTTAACATAGCTGCGCTCTCTACGACAGAACGTACGCTAAGTGTCAAGAACTTTCACTAGCATTTTGGAAAGGATTTAAAAAATGGGGGGGGAGGGTGGCTACCGGCACTCTAGCCACCTCCCGAATAAATACCTGTATGTGTGTATGTTTTAAAGGGGTAATGCGGTTGCTCGAATTTTACCTGCGCTAGCCTGCGCTAGCTTTAAGGAAGCTTCATATATATTTTTGAAAAATTAAAAATCACTTGTAGGGGCTCATGATTTTTCTTGTCCACCCTGTATGACAGCTACGATAGCTGCGCTAGCTATGACACAACTTGCGCTAGGTGTCACGAACTTGCGCTAGCCTTTTGAATAGGATTTAACAACTGGGAGGGGGGGGCTAGCGTCGATCTAGCCCCCCCCCCGAATAGATACCTGTATATGTTTTGAAGGGGTAATGCGGTTGCTCGAATTATACCCGCGCTAGCCTGCGCTAGCTTTAAGGAAGCTTCATATATATTTTTGAAAAATTAAAAATCACTTGTAGGGGCTCTTTTTTTTTTGTCCACCCTGTATGACAGCTACGTTAGCTGAGCTAGCTATGACACAACTTGCGCTAGGCTGCGCTAGGTGTCACGAACTTGCGCTAGCCTTTTGAATAGGATTTGACAACTGGGTGGGGGGGCTAGCGTCGATGTAGCCCCCCCCGAATAGATACCTGTATATGTTCTGAAGGGGTAATGCGGTTGCTCGAATTTTACCTGCGCTAGCTTTAAGGAAGCTTCATATATATTTTTGAAAAATTAAAAATCACTTGTAGCGGCTCATGATTTTTTTTGTCCACCCTGTATGACAGCTACGATAGCTGCGCTAGCTATGACACAACTTGCGCTAGGCTGCGCTAGGTGTTACGAATGTGCGCCAGCATTTTTGAGAAGATCGAATAACTGGGGGGGGGGCTAGCGTCACTCTAGCCCCCCCCCCCCCCCCCCGAATATAAAACCACATATCTTTTGACCTGTAGCTGCGCTAGCTTTCGAAAAAGTTGCGCTAGGTTGCGCTAGCTCTAGAGAACGAGGGCTAGCGTTTTGGATAAAAATTATCAACTGGGGGGGGGCCAGGTCTACTGAGCCCCCTGGCAGGTTTAGCCAATGTTCATAGGCTTTGTTGTCCACCCAGGTTTTAATGGTTTGATTTGGCTCTGGCCCTGTGAAGTTGATTTCGCCTATACCCATCTGGCCAGGAGATCCACTATTTAATTGCCCTCAAGGCGAGCGTGTCCCGGTATCCACATCCATTTTACCTTGTTTTTCTTCCCTATTTTGCTTAGAGCTTCCTGAGAGCTCCAGACTGTTCTTGAGTTACAGTAGGGTGGTGCAAAGCGCCTTGAGAGCGGTTTGGCTGTCATAACAGATTTTTATGGTTTTGTGAGTTTGGGGTCGATTCTGCAGCCTCCTCCCACCCATTTCAATTGCATGCCCTTCCGCTTGAAATATGGTGGCATTGTTCCCTAAACTGATGGATAACCTAGTTTTCAGGATTGCACCATAAACGCCAGGTCCTACCCCACTATCTCTCTTCGATTCATTTGTGAACAGACATAGATCTGCTTCTAGTAGGGCGTGCTCATTCTGCACCCACTCTGTCTTTCTTAGGAAAGTCACAGTGTAGGCAGCTTGTTGTGTGTGTTTTTGGCATAAGGTCCGTAGGCATTACAGTGTTACTTTGATAAAGAAGTTAGTCTAATAATCATTAGTTCAATCAATTACACCAAAAATAAAAATGGGTATAATGGGAAACGATTCCATTTTTCTTCTACTGGATGTTCTAATACTCCGTAGTTTCGTTTATTTAATTTTAAAACAGAGTAGATTTTCTCGATATTGTGACAAATGATGCCCTATGCAGTCCTGCAGTTCAGACTAAAAGACGCTTCAGTGAAAGTAATCTCTATGTCTTCCGACGGCAGGTCCGATGTGTTTCTGGAAACGCCCTTTTCCTGTGTGAATTCGCCCGTTTTGTCAAAACCACAACAGGAATGACGGTGTCTTTTTTTAAATTGACACAGAAAGAGAGAAAATCACGATCCCGGACTTACTTTCATGTCGAATTTTGTGTAAATAAGCTGCTTTGATAAGTCTGAAATCATCTCAATAAATCGTTTCTTCAGATACCTAACCAGTCAGATTATCGACTGCATAGAGGTTAAAATGTCCGAAAAAATGCGAAAATATTTTTGTCCTGAATAGGTATATTTGCCTTGTTCTGTTCACTCTATTTTTTTCTATCATCTGCCCCTCAATCTGCCCTAACCTAGAGAAAATACATATACCTACAAGTTTTAAATTCAAATATTTCAGAAACACAGTTTAGTTGCGAATGCTATCAATTAAAGGAAAAAAATTTCACCGGACTATGAAACCGATTGGCTAGTCCATATGACTCGAAAACGATACAGTAGACACTAATTTTAATGAAATTACTCTGTGGACGATCGGTTTTATTTTCCGACGAGTTAACATACGCGAACTCTCATAATTCGCTGTCGGTGATAAACCAAACTGAATTCTCTGGCTTAATTCTATTAATAGTTTCCATGGAATCGGTATCCTTTTTACCGAAACTTCAATTTGCCTAATCGGTTCTTGAATAGCCTAATTTCAATGAACATTGCTTAATTTGTGTATTCAGCTTCGACCCAAAATGAATTCCTTTTAATTACTTCGGCTTCATGCTATTACTGCGTAATGTGTTTACGGTTGACGAGAAAATTTGATGCCATGCCATGATATTATTGTTTTTTATTTGTTTTCCGAATTCGATTGCCATTAAATTGTTTCACCTTTCTTTTATAATCAATTTGTTTTATTTATTAGTTATCAACCCACTGCCGTTAAATAATAAAATAAGTAACTTACCGGTAACATCTTGAGGATAGGTTTTGACTTCCAAGTTTAGGAGTTTCTCGTCTAAAATTTAAAAAAACAATCATTAGTATGTGTAGTTATTCTAGAAAAGAGTTTTTTTTTTTTAACTTTAGGCGTCGCATCGTTCGGCGACAACCTAATTCTGAACATGTAATTGAAATAAATTGCTACACATAATTTGAAAATATATTTGCCTTCTGGGAAACTGTTTTCATGCATTTGGGCACAATCAAGCTGCACGAATGCATTTATTGGACCCTAAAGTGGAAAAGCTCGTAAGCCACGATTTTAATTTAAGTTTTTTTTTTTATTCTCGGGCGAATTCGAAAACTGTTTTTAAGTGAGAAGTAAAATTTGTGGGATATATGGTATAGCACATCAGCCAAAATTGAATTAAAGGGTATAGAATTTTTAATTAATTTGCGAAAACAAAAACAAATAGATATTTTCAAAAGAATACTCACATTCAAATATAATCATTGATGTTATTTAAACCCCCTGCTTTCCTAGTCATACACAAAGTCTAATTTTATTTAATTGTATTCCCTCCAGCACCCTTTCGGTTGCGCATTTTAATTTTTGATATTTATAGCACAAGCTCCCAAAACTCGGCAGAGTTGATTTCGAATCCGGAATTTGCTGAGAAGGCTCAAACCTCGATGTGACGCAACTAAACAATGCGAATTACTTCAAGATTAAAACTGGCAGAAATTTCTAAAGGACTAATCTTAGGCCTTATTTTGTACGCGTAATTGAAAGCTTTAGCGCGATTCTGGCTACGAATTATATAAATATTGATAAAGGATAGGACAATTTTAGGACAGACAAAATTGTTTGTTCAGCCGGAAGTATGATTCTTTGTCTGATTGATTCGTTGGAAAGGGTATTTCTGCATGTTGATGATATAAAACGGAATTGTGTGTGTGTTGGATGCCAAAACTATTCTTACCCAATTAAGATGGGGATATCGATTTCGACTACGACAAGGTAGTTGGGAAGACCACAAAGATCTATCCCAACACCACAGAGGACTACAAAGCATCAAAGCTTTGTCTATAGATGCAGAGAAGAAGCCGTTCTTCTCGTTGAAGAAAAAAACAAACTGTAGTGGTGATTCGAGGATCACCAATCCAATACAGAGATTGCAGAATTCAACATATTGCAGATTTCAACATATTGCTGATTTTCTCGAAGATAAATCGTCTGATCATAATGGTCTTCGAGATCGAAATCAGTAAACTTTTCTTTTATTTTCAAAAGACGAAATTAAGTGGCGAATAACTCTCCGTTCGAACGTATTACGATTAAATCGTTCAGGAAATAAAGTAAGAGGCAGTAGGGAGTTCCCGAGGTGGGCAGTACGCCACCAAAAAGAAGCCCTATATTTAGAGGCCCACGGAGTAGCTAACTTTACCACATACTAACATAACTTCTCGCTGGAGTGAGGCTGGCCAGATCGTCGAATATCGCCCATGGTAATAGCGATAGAATAAGAAGTCGGCCACTTTGCGTCTATGTTTGAGAGATTGCTCTTCTTTGCTCTGCATCTAATAGAGCCAACGAATGCTTGGAATTATGGCTCCAGATGTGGAAACAGTATCCCATACATGGTCTGATTTTAGCCTTATAAAGGAAGAAGTTCTTCAAAAGTAAAGAAGCTTTCTGTACGAAACAGAAAACCTAATTTTTGAGAAGTGGTTTTGGCGATCAAAGATACATGGTCATGGGCAAGACAAGTTGGTCGATACGGTCACCCCAAGTAGAGATACTGAGGGATCGGTAGAAAGGTTTTGTCTCGACGACCTTGAGGCTCCAGTTCGTAATGGTGTCAAGATCACTGTTGATAAAGTGAATCAATTCTTGGTCGAGGCGTGTGGAAGTGGCTGCAGTGAGCGGTTTGTCAGAAGAGAAAAATGCCATCAAGCTACTATCGTCCGCAAAGTTGCATATACAGTTTCTTGTCACATTTAACTAATCATTTATAAAAATGAGAAACAGTGTTGGCGACAGAATAGAGTCTTGGGGAACGCCAGCAATAATAGACAGTGTATCAGAACACACCATCGAGCATAATATGCCTGCCTTCCAATGACAAAATTCGTTCGGAAGACCATACGATGAGAGTTTGCTGAGGAGACCTTTCTATTGGTATCTGTAAGTTTAGGAGGATGGTATGGTATGCCACAGCACTTAGGCCACATTAGGCCTATTGTGCGCTTCCACAAGAGAAGGGGTCATCCTGAGCTCGTCATCCAGCCTAGTGATTCCACGTAGGCGATGACGTCCCCGAGGGCGGTGCCTCTGATCTCTTCTAGCGATGGGTACGATTGGCCTAATCTGGCTCTGCGTATTGGCGAAAGAGCAGTGCAGTGCCAGATAATGTGTTCTATCGTCTCATCTTCTTGATTACAAGAAGCCTTATACAAGGATATGGTACTGGGATGCAACCTAAACAAATATTTATTTAGGACAGTGGCCAGTCAAGATGCCCGTTATTAGGCGTAGCCTTTTCCTGGTCAATGACAGCTTCTGGTTTGCTTTATCTGGGTAGCTTAGCAGTTCCTTGGATAAGTTGCAGCCAATTATATCGTCCCAGCGCTTTTTAAAAAGGGTATGGGAGCGTTTTTTTATCATATCTCTGGCCGCCGACATGGTCAGCCCTACGAAGGGCTCCGGTCCAGAAGGCTGTAGCCTGGCGGCTCTTCTAGCTAGAGCATCGGTCGATTGCCTTTGCTGTGATCATGGTCTTTGATCCAGCCACCGTGTTGTTGATCAACGCTTTGGTGAGTGTACGGTCGCAATGTTGTACTAGTTCTGACGCGAGTTGCGGTCTAGATATCCTAGTACTGATTGTCTGCAGTCCGTGTGGATACTGTTTTTGATTTACATAAATAATCTCAGTGTGGATCCGGCTTCTGACACTGTACTCTTTGCGGATGACACCACAATTCTTATTAATGATAAAGATGTTGAAAATTTAAATGAAAAAATCAATAGCGCTAAATTGTCGGCTTCAAGGTGGTTTGGTAAAAATGGTTTGAGTTTAAACGAAAACAAAACCAAAACCATATGCTTCAGTCACAAGAAATCCTGTCAGCAACAGGAAAGTTCAAAGTTCCTAGGCTTTTATGTGGATCCTGTATTATCAGGGGAGCATCATGTAGACTTTCTGGCTGCAAAATTGTCGAAAAACATTTTTGTTATAAGATCATCAAAGGATGAGTTACCTAGAAAATCAATTTTAACAGCTTACCATTCAATTTTTCTTTCACACTGCGGATATGGAATCCTTGCATGGGGCCATTCCCCTCATGCAGATCGAATTTTCAAATTGCAGCGGAAGGTTCTGCGTGTAATGTTCAGAATGGGTTATAGGGACAATGTTGCGGAGGTATTTGTAGCAAATAAACTATTCACCTTCCCTTCCTTGTACATCTATACATGTCTTAAGTACGTCAGAGAAAACCTTGGCCATTATACCCATAACAATGAAATCCATGATTATAACACTAGGCAGAACTCAGATATAAACATTCCAAGATTTCGTTTAAGTCATAGCCGATACGGGGTGAATTACTATGGACCTCTTTTTTATAATGCACTGCCTAGAAATGTGCAAACATTAGATGACAAGACCTATTTAAAAACTATAAAAAATCACTTACATAGACATGCATTTTATAATTTTACTGACTTTCTGCGTTCTGAAATTTCTGAAATTTCATAGGGGGGTGATTGAGGCGGCAGAGTTTGTTCCTATTTTTCTATTTTTATATTCTGTTTTTGTATTCTATTTTTATTCTTATATTGTGATTGCTTGTGATATTTATGCAGAAGATTGTGATATCCATGTGAAAATTATTATTTGTTAATGCTCTTTGCTCTATTTTAAATTTTAAACCTCGTTTTAAACTAATGAATCTTAAATCTAAATTGAAATATTGGTACTTAAAAGTGATTTTAAAAATTAATTGCTGTGATTTTAAATGTCTGTTAGAAATAACTAATCAAAAATTTCTTTTTCCTGTTGACGTGTGCAAACAATTATGTATTGTAAAGCATGAAAATAAATTTGAATTTGAATTGAATTTGAATTTGAATTGAATTTGAATTTGATATGCACGATCTTGTCAGAGATATTGTTGCTGACTATTTGTTCGACTGCGATGGTTATGCCAGTAATTTCCGTTTGGAGGACATTGGGCATGGAGCCGAGGGTTATAGCTAAGTTCAGTTTGAGAGCTTTGGAGAATACTCCGCATCCCGAGCCTGTTTGAGTTTTGGAACCATCAGTGTAGATGTTACTTACCTCTGCCACTGTATTGTTTCCAATGCCTTTCGTGTTGATTGCGTAGTGAAGTAGAAGACGAAACATGGTGTTGCAGAGTCCACTCAGGCCTCCAACAATGGATGCGAGTTCGTTGCCTCACGCCATATGCGGGAGGAGACCTTTGTGCCACACCTGATCAAAAGCCTTGGTCCAATGCTACAATTCTGGAGTCGCCATGTTTTTTAAGAGTCGAGTTCCGAATATGACTGATGTACGCCAGCAGATCCCCTGCTGATCTTTTAAAACTTTTCAAACCTCAATTTGATACATGCTTCCTATTAATGGGACCTATACTGTTTCTATTTCACGAAAGGGCTGATCCTATCTTTATGTATTTTCGAAGCACTGTAATACGTTCGCACCTGAACCATCAACTGAGAATTTAGCTTGTATATATTGTTTTTAATATACGCGGTATTCATCGGGTCATTAATTGACTAGTTGTGCAAGCACGTTTGCAGAGAAAATAATGTCTACTCGAATTTAACATTAAAACCATGGTAAATGGCAGATAAAGCAGGCTCCGATTATTCATGACAGTCGCTTGTTGTCAGCCCATTTCGTATTTCGGATCTATTCTTGTGTGCAAATATTCATTTTTGACCCGACTTCGGTTTACGAGCCAATGATTAGCATGCGCAAAAGCAAGAATGGAAATTATTACTTGCTAAACAAACGATATTCATTTGGATAATTCGAGCCAGAAGGGATT